CCCTACCATGCAAAATGAATATCATTTACATGATCAGCACATCAACCGCCGAATTTTCAGCGAAATCCAAGGTTTTCTCTTCTTGGGTTAAGTGGTATATCGCCAAATGACTTTCCCCTTATGCAATGTAGAAGACATTTCAACTAATATTTATTGCTAAACTACAACCGCATTCTAGAGTTTTACAAAAGGCATGACTGACATACACATGTAGCACAACATAAGAAAATCACGAATCTCCGGCAAAAATTAAGGCTGAGCCATTTTTATACAAGGAACAAAAGATACACAATCATGACAACTAGTAAAATGATGTTGAGGAATATCAATCAAGATGACAGTCTCGCGAGCACCTGAGATCAGACAGAGGAACAAGGCGAAGTTACCCGTTAATGATTTACAGCTGACTACTTATGCTTCAAACTCTCAAGCTGGTACTTGAAAATAACGTCGTTGATGTCTTTCTGAAGACGATACGCTAATTCAGAATGTTTTGCTTCCAATTCACGTGCAAGCTCTTCTATCATGCGACCTGAAACAGTCATGATAGTGTGTGCATTGGTCCGACCCAAAAGAACATTAAGGATTTCCCTTGAGGAAGCGAACTCTAAACAGACTAATTGAAATGGCGATAGTGGAATCGAAAAAAGGACCACTTGTAAAGTGACTAATTACCGCAGTCTGTGGAGAAAAAATGTTTAAAAAACGCCTAGGATTATGTGAAAAGTATGTGAAGTTTCAGACAGGTAAGCAATGCGATACTTACCCATAAGAGTCCATTTATCTTCATAAGGGCGAGGTCCATGAACTTCACCGAACGTAGTGTCTGCATTGCTGAGTCCCATTCGCGGTAGCGAATTTTGCAAAATGTGGTCAAGCTCACTTTTCACCTTAAAATAAAGTTTCATCAAGAGAGCACTCAATAAGATGCTAATTAACGTTTGTCTCAGCTTACTTCAAATTTTTGAAAAATACCCTAACGGTTTATACTAAGTGAACAGTGCCAATGAAACATACTTATGACAATCACATTTCAAAGTAAGGTTGTTTCGTACCATAACTTGAGCCGTTGCGGTTGGAGGGGTTGAAGGGACTGACTGCGTCGCAGTTTCGCATGAATCTTCTCGGGGAGGAACCCAAGTAGAAACGACCTGATGATATTGTGAATGAGATAATTCGACATATCAAGAGCGAGTTCAGTATCAAGAGCAGCACAAGCAAACGAGTACCATATTTACAAATATGCAGAATAGTGTAATACCTGTTGAATTTGAGGTGTAGGTTCTACTTGTACATGAGTTTTGAGAGAGCCCGACGAATCATTAGCAAGTCTCGGCCTCTTGCTTGGAGTGCCTTCCATGCTTTTCTCTTTAACTGGCGCAGGTCTGAGACAAAAAGGCTCAAATAATGGAAAATAACACATTATAAACTATCATACAGATATCCAAGCATTTTATAGATTTCAGTTTGGACGTCAAGAGGAACACTGACAGAACTTGTTGATGCACTGCCGTTTTCTGAAAAATAAAGTTGATGAGAATGTTCGCACAAGCAGAATATCTTCACAAACCTAGTGGCATGCCATCAAACCTGCATGCACGCATAACTTCGGGTGAAAGGAAGAGCAATCTTTTGTAAAACTCCCATTCACAGCTTTCACCTTGTTTTGTTCTGGCGGTCAAGATATCGAAGCTGTTTCGTAGAAAGATCCACTTCTCGCAAACTTGTTCAGCTATAAAGTTCACAGTAAACATGAGACTATACTGTGAGTTCGTTTTCTGGTCACAGAGTAGTGGTCAAAAATATTGTTTGAGAAATACTGTATGGCTTACTAACGAATACCGCACTTTCCTCGCACAGCAGTATCTTTCTGAGTGTTTACAGTGTATGTGTTGAAGAATTTTAGTAGCGGGTATGATTTTAGTCGTAAACTATGTATTTGGATTCCATGAAGTCATGCTACAAGGGCCCGAGAGATTTGTACTACTTCTTACGATTCGACTGTTGTATACCTCAAAATGGACAAAGCAAATCTGGCTAGGGAAGAGCCTGCTCAGGACAATCAGGAACTATGAATCCTACAGTAAGTTCTAGCTAGAAAAAGAAAGAACCGAAAAAAA